AAAACATCAGTGATGAGAGAAAATCATTGATTGGCTGCCTCCTGCACGCCCCCTCCTGGGGACTGAGCCGCAACCCAGGCATGTGCCCTTGACTGGAATCAAACCCGGGACCCTTGAGTCCACAGGCCGACGCTTTATCCACTGAGCCAAACCGGCTAGGGTGAAGACAGGCATTTTTATGTGTTTTGTTCACATCTATATTCAACAAATATAGGTGATGCTGAATGAATCAGGGTCTCTTTCTCCCCAGGAACTCATGTGGCTCAGTTCCCTAGTACTGAAAATATATGTCCAGCGCAGTTCCCAGCCATACTCGGAAACTGGTGTATTTCTCTTGGGCTCTTTCTTGTCACTCCTGTAGAGTCTTTTCCATCATTCCTCCCTTGCAGTGCTAATTTCCTGGACACAACACTGTGGAGTTTGATAAAATGTTGGCGAATTAGGTGTCTGTGGGGTTTGGGTTATTTTTATCAGAGATATAGCCTCAGGAGAACATGGTATCTTTTCAACTTGTTACTATGCCATAAAATACACCAGTATTTTAGTGTTTATAGAGTTAATAGAGATAAAAAAAAGAGAGAGAAGGGGAATTGATTTAATTATCATTTACATAATGCAGTTTTATGAGCCTATGTAAATTATGCATTGTTGACCTTTAAATTAATTTAGGCTTAATTAGATGGTTTCATTATGTTTAAAGATGTAATATAATTATTTTATTATGTTTCTTATTGCTTTGTAAGCATATTTCTGCTTCGTGTCTCATTAAGGCCCAAATGTATGGCCTTCTTATCGACTATTTATTTAGCTGTTTTCTGGTGTGAGGTTTGCAGAAGCCTGAACTGACTGAAGTATGGTGTTCCTAAATTGTGTAATTTTCCAGGACACATTGCAGCTTTTGCTTCAATGGGGGCCTACATTTTCAAAAGAGTTAAACATTTGATCTGAAAATGGGCTCTTTAAAAAAGTCGTTTGCAACAGGAATCTTTGTCATGCTGGGCACAAAAGGAAAAATGAATCTAGCATTCCACCAAGGCTCAGCCTTGGGCCCTCTAGTGTTGGATCTTGGAACTGTAGATTAATTTTGCACATGGCATTGGAGCCCTGAGTCCCCTGAGAATCCCAGGAAATCTGAAGGGAAGGAGGACGCTGAGTAGGCTGGTCTCTGGCCTCATCACCTTCAGCCACAGAAGCCACATTGTTACATATTTTCTTCAATTTGGGACACTGCTAACCTCTTCCTTGTTAATATAGTTATTGTAGCTCTTCAAAAATAAAAATTCACAAGCTATATTTACTAGAGAGTAAGCATATGAAACCTAAGAAAGTGATTGTTCATTTTTGCCATCCGATTTTAGGATTTGGGCAATATCTCCTCATATAAAACCTATCAATACTTGGGCTTAGCCTGACCCGTTTGACTCAGTGGATAGAGCATTGGTCTGGGGACTCAAAGGTCTCAGGTTCGATTCCGGTCAAGGGCATGTACCTTGGTTGCGGGCATATACCCAGTAGGGGGTGTGCAGGAGGCAGCTGATCGATGTTTCCCTCAAATCAATGTTTCTAGCTCTCTATCCCTCTCCCTTCCTCTCTGTGAAAAAATCAATAAAATATAAAAAAAATACTTGGGCTTAACCCCAAATAACTAACTTATGGTGAAATTGAATTGAACACCTATATGTTTTCATTAAAAAATATACAACAGGGAACCATGTCTATTTTATACACTCCGGGTTTCATGCACTCATAGTCAAACAGCCAGGCTTGGGAATGCATTTGCAATACTGAGTTTATTGCTGATCATCAGTGGGTCTTTGGTTCCACTGCAGGGAGCCCCTGGTGGAGGCATCCTTGAAAGGAATTCTCCTGTTCTGTGCTGTGGCTAGTAGTGTCCCCTCGAATCCTTCACTGACGTAGGGAGAGACATGCAGACCACTCAGCGGTGTGTTGAGAACTCTTGGATGACACGGCTCGATGCACTTCCATTCCCATCGCCAGCGCGTCAGACCTGTGCAGGCCATGGTCATCTTGCCTGTAAGGGGAGGCTGGTCTCCCGATCTCTTCGGTCACTTCCCCATTTGTGAATTTATGACCAGATGACTGATCTTCAAGTTCACATCCAATGCACCCCCTAACCCAGTGGTTCTCAACCTTCCTAATGCCGCGACCCTTTAATACAGTTCCTCATGTGGTGACCCCCAATTTCATTGTTACAAATTGAACATAATTAAAGTATAGTGATTAATCACAAAAACAATATGTAATTATATATGTGTTTTCCGATGGTCTTAGGCGACCCCTGTGAAAGGAGCCTGGGTCCCTGAACGATTGCTGGACTGAGTCCTTTCTCTCATGCCCTCTGACAACAGGACATGGAAGACAGGTAGGCCTTTACCATGTTGAGTCACTGAGGTTTTAGTGTTGTTTGTGATAGCAGTTAACTTACCCTGGCTAGTACATTCCCCAATCTCTCTGAACCTGTTTCCTTACCTGTAAAGGTAAGGAAATTACCTTACTTAATTCACAGTGTAAAGTGACTTAAGTAAGATAATTTATCGTACATACTCGGCACATAGTAAGTGCTCATGGATGTCAGCTGTTGTTATTAGTGAGTGTGACTGCCAGTTAGAAGAGGGGGCAGATTGGTGTCTGGGAGGATAGTGGTTCAGGAGGAGTGTAACAGTAGGATTGTCATTGTCATCATCGTCATGAAGATGGCACCCGCCATTTACTGACCACCTGATTGGGCCCGGCTCTGTCCTGGGGTGCATCACGTGTCCTCATTTCAATCCCCTGAGGCAGGTATTAGTCACCTCCATGAGGACCCAGGACCCCGGCCCAGGCTGCTGAGCTGCACAGATGACACAAGCAGTGACATGGGCAGGCTTTAAACTCTGGGCTCTCTGACCTTTACTTCAGAAACGACACCACGTGTATTTTGGGGAAATGTGACAGGTATTTAAAGAAAAGAAAAAAAATGCCTTTAAATGAGGCCTTCACCTGCTTTGCTTCTCATTGGGGAAGTGTTATGTTTTCCTTCTGAAACTTTCTCTACTTCAAGTTGTATTGACTGGCTTTTATAAATGAATCCTTTGGCTAGAGATCGGCTGCAGATGTGAAAGGCCCGTCTCCTTTCCTTCCCCAGGGTCCTGTGGCTTCTGTTTTGTTTGTACTCCCGCAGGCTCTGTGTGGAGTCGGTCAGTGGAAAAGGGACTAGGTTTCCAGAACAATGCGTCTGTGAGTCCTGCAAGTCTCCCTGCAGCTCAAGGCCTCCTGTGAGTAGAGCAGATACTTAAAAGCCCTTTCGATATGTGCATAACCTGAGCTATAATTTCCCAGAAGCACCTTCCATTTCTTTATTTTTGTGTGGAGTGAAGAAAGATTTGTGACTCCACACGAACAAGAAAGGTTTGGAAAATAAAGAAAGAAAGGTTTGATGAAAACTTCTGAGGTGCTGGTGCTTAAAATCCTGATACTAGATTCACTAGATTAACCAAAGGATTGATTGCCCTTCACAGTTACGTGTACTGTATTCCCTTTTCTTCCCCTTTGAGATAACAGTTTGGGCTTCAGCAACATAACCCACCCCGTAGACCAGTAGTAGATCCATAGGCACAGATTCAGTCATTAGCAACATGGGGTGTCGCTGGACTACATTTGCATTTATATTAACAAGACAATTCTACTTGCAGCTGTTTATGTGGCGCCCACTTGCTGTGTGCTAAGACAGCGGGTAAAGACTGGTTTATAATGTATTTTACTTCCACTGCTTCTCTTCTAGGTCTGATAAAACTTTAAACACAAGAAGCATTTTTCTTTTTTTATCTCACAGATAGTTTCGCTGTCAAAGGCAATGCTAAAGGCAAGGTGAATAAAACCAACTTCTACACTTAAGGTTATTTTTGCAATATTTATGAACATTCTCAGGAAAAAGCCTAGGCCCCTCGCTGATAGAACAATGGGTTAGGTTGCTTTTCTTCAAGAATATTATTATCAATATAATAATATATCAGTATAGAGTTTCGTAGAAATTCTTCTACGGTAAAACTTCGAAAACTGTTTTGTCCTTTAAAAAGTAATGTTATCAGGCACTGGCCGAGTAGCTCAGTTGGTTGGAATGCCATTCCCAATGCACCAGGGTTGCGGGTTCGATACCTGGTCAGGGCACATGCAAGAATCGACCAATTAATGCATGAATGAATGGAATAGCAAGTTGATGTTTCTCTCAAACACGCTCTCTCTCTCTCCCTTCCCCTCTCTCTCTCTCTAAAAAAAGAAAAAAAAAAAGTTCTTAAAAAAAATGTTATCAGAGGCAAAAAATGACATCCTCCCCCCCCAGCCCAAAAAAAACCACTTTGTGGCTGCTTGAAAAATAACACGAGATGGCGCCAGAGAGCCAAAGTGGAGATGGATTTGCTTCTAGGCAGGAGAAAGATCTGAGTGGAAAAGGGTGGCCTTTTACAGTCTCTGAATTCGTGCAGGAGGGTCCCACTTTCTCCACATCGTCGCAACACTTTGTTTTCTTTTAAAAAAATAGCTGAGTGGTCTCTTACTGTGGTTTTGATTTGTGTTTCCTTGAGCAATTGGTTTTTACTTATTTTTTAAGCCGTAGAGGATCCTGTTGACAGCTTGTGCTGCATGGCCTGATGGTGAGGGGCTAGGGGTCCCGCGTGTGCTCAAAACCAGTAGCCACATAAAGAGAAGCCCAATGCTTAGAGCAGTTAACCAGGGAGGCTCTTTTCTTCTTTTTTTAATATATTTTATTGACTTTTTACAGAGAGGAAGGGAGAGAGATAGAGAGTTAGAAACATGGATGAGAGAGAAACATCGATCAGCTGCCTCCTGCACATCTCCCATCAGGGATGTGCCCACAACCAAGGTACATGCCCTTGACCGGAATCAAACCTGGGACCTTTCAGTCCGCAGGCCGACGCTCTATCCACTGAGCCAAACTGGTTTCGGCAGGAATAACTTGTAATAATGTTCTGCTTGTGTTGCCCTCTTTGCCATCTTTTTTTAATAATAGAAATTCATACAGTTTAAGAGCCTCTGTGATGTCTGAAATCTTGTTTTTCTTTTTGGGACACCGCTCTTCATTGATTATTGCTACTCCTTTCAGAATCTATCTTTAGCAGACAAGGGATTTAAAAAGAAAAAATGGCCATGCTGGGCCGCATGCCTCAGTGGTTGAATGTTGATCTATGAAACAGAAGGTCACAATCCAAATCCTGGTGAGGGCACATGCCTGGATTGTGGGCTTGATCCCGTTGTAGGGTGGGCGGAAGGCAACTGATCAATGATTCTCTCATTGATGTTTCTCTCCCGCCCCCCTCCTTTCCTCTCTGAAATCAATCTGTAATAATAAAAGTGTAATATGCTAATTATAGACCAAACATCTTTCCAGACGACCTTCCGGACGAAGCCAGGGCTGCAAAGGAAGCCTGGGTCCTGGTGCCTGCCGGCTGCGGAGGGAAGCTCAGGTCTCGGTGCCAGCGGAAGCCGGTGCTGCAGCCGGGAAGAAGACTACTCTTGCACGAATTCATACATTGGCCTTCTAGTAAAAATATTTTAAAAAATTAACAGGTAGTTCTTCTTTA